TCTGGTGTGAGAGAAAGACTGCTTTCTCATCAATTCTTATTAGACTGGATCCCGATCGAGGTACATGCGCCTGAACTAATGGAGTCAGACGGCCACACACGACTTCTTCCTCACAGTAGTCCTGCCAGGCCTCCTCCATGAGCTACATAGAAAGTCAAGGGATCCGGCCAAATGGAACAGGCTACAGTGAAGCTGCAGGGCAGGCTCAAAAATATTCTACCATTTGAGGTGGAACAGTGAATGGTGCTGCCCCAACCCCCAACCATCGAAGTCAAACTGCACAGCACTAGCATGCCAGCACCAATCAAGTCATTGTGGCAGATCACTTACACAAGCATCTCTGACCATCCTTGGCAGGAGAGTAACAAAGCAAGTAACTAATAGTATCTCGCCCTTCCATAATACACAGAAATGACTGCCTGAGGCGGCTGCCTCACTATCTAATAAGAATAACTGTAGCACTACAGAATTGGAAGGGACCCCACGGATCTCTGAATCCAGTCCCTGTCAAGGAGATACAGTGGGGAATCAGCCACTCAACCTTGGGCTCCACAGCCAGATGCTGAATGGTGATGCTCACTGTGTTCGGAGAGAAAGGGATTCCTCCCCTGAAATCTCCCAGATGAATATCTCATGCTCATGCCTCCATCCAGTTGTTTGGCATCCTCCATTTCCTCTTTGTCTTAACCCTGCACCATAGCCTGCAGTCTTCTGTGCAACACTCTCTGAAGCATTTGTACCACCACCACCACCACCACCACCACTCAGTCTGCAGTCTTCTGTGCAACACTTTCTGAAGCATTTGTACCACCACCACTACTACTACCACTACTACTAATTCTGACTAATTGCAATATTTTTTTGAGGGTTTCCCATGCAGAGAATACTCAGAAGTGGCTTATCATTTCCTTCTTCTGGGGGAGCCCTGGGAATGTGCCGCTTGCCCAAAGCTATGCAGGCTGACTTTACTCACAGGCGGCACAGTAGGGAATTGAACTCTCAAATGTATGGCTCTGCAGCCAGATACTTAAACCACTGAGCTATCCAGCCAGCCTCATTTATAAGGGCCTGGAAAAGCTGTTGAGGGAAGGATGGGGTAGAGACGTCCTCTTCTGCCAGCTCAGTTGCACTCATCTAAATTTGGATCCAACCTATTTTGTGGTATTATTAAAAGTAATCAGAGCAAATGGTCCTGAAATAAACTGCTGTTTGCAATTTAATCTTCAATATGTTTGGCAGCAGGGCTTTGAACTCTGTCAGGAATCTCTCTGCACTTCACTGTTCACCTTGTGAAATCTCTCATTCCCTGCCTGCAGACAGAAATCTGAAACAGAGATGATCTCAGTTCTAAATGGGAATAATAGCCACCTACTTCACATCAGTTGTTGCAAGGAGGAGCCTAATAAAGTTTTGCAGCATTTTCCATAGTGCAACCCTGCCTACCCCAAAGTAAGTTCAGCTAAGATCAGTGGGGCTTACTGCTGGGTAAGCGAACCTCTCAGGAATGAGAAAGCTGTAGCCATTCAGATAGTGTTGACCTACAGACCCTATCATCCTTGACTGTGCTTGCAGGAGATGATGGCCACTGGAGTCCAGCAGTGAGGGAGATGGAATACAGCTCTCCCAAACGGACACAAACACACACACACACACATTTTGGGAACTTCAAGACTTGCAGTCTGAAAGTTCCCACATATGACAAAACTCCACAAACTGAATGGACAGGACTACCTCTCTAGGGCAGGAGTTGCCAAGTCTGGGTCCTCAAATGAAATCCAAGATATTCTAGTCAACCTGGTCAACGATTAGAACAGGCTTGTCCAACCTTGGCCCTCCAGATGTTCTTAGACTACATCTCCCAGAAGCCTCCACCACCACCTCTGCTGGCCAGGATTTCTGGGAGTTGAAGTCCAAGAACATCTGGAGGGCCAAGGTTGGACACCACTGGATTAGAACTTCTGGGGCTTGTAGTGATCTAGGAGGTCACTTCGGCACCTGGATAAGTATAAATGCACACAGCAAGGTCCCTCCAGCTGTGTGGAACCAAGCTTCCTGAAAACTGGCAATGAAAGGAGTTGAAGGAGTGAGGTACCTGCTTTGGAGTCATACCTGCAAAAATGGAAATGCTATTTTGTGGGACTATAACTCTCAGAAGCCTCCCAGTCATGCTGGTTGTGGAGATTCTGGTGGCTGCAGTGTCAGCTTTCCCAAGTTCTGCACAACTCCAGGGCTGCTTAAGATTCTCTTGCAATCCCATTCAGGATCAATTAAGCTCTCAGAAAGAGAAAGACGAGAGACTGAGAACTCAATTTTCTCCTTGGTTATTCCCTCAAAATTAACATCTATCAACAGAAATCACCCATTTGAAGCAGCTGCCGGCCTCGACGTGTTCACCTGAGGAACTGCAGGGAAGCAGATGACCCACCACCACCACTGTCCCACCCACCCTTCTCCCGGCAACAGACACACACCGACCCTTCAAGTGCAATTGCCCGCCAACTTCGCTCGCCTTCGCCTAGCCAAGAGCCAAATTCAGATCCCGCTGTTCCTAGAGCGCAAATATTCCTAGTTCGCCGTCAAGCAACCAGAAACAGCCCGTCCTCTTTCTCCCCACCTGTGGCTTGCAGATTTGCGCCAATGTGCAGCTCGACGCCAAGACGCTCCGCTCCCAGGTTTTAGCAGATGGAAAAAGTGTGTGCGTGTGTGCGCGCGCTCCCGCTCCCGTGCGCGCGCGGGCGCGTGCAACGGAGTGTGGAAAGCTGAGGCGGGGACAGAAGAGGTAGAGCCCAGCTTCTCCTTCAGCCCTGCATGCTTTCTTTTATGTGGATTTGCAACCGATCGATTTAGAGGGTCGGAACAGAAGCAGCCGAAAAGCAAATTTAAAAAAAAAAATCAAAGCCATTGGCTCCCCTCTTCTTCCAAGACATTCCTATCCTTTCCAGAATTCCGGAATGTTAACATCCATATGGATTCTGCAGATCTGTTTTCGGGGAAAGAAGAATTGGCGGGCTGGGGAGGGGCGAGAAAAGGCAAGGATATACACCCAGGGCTCGAATACAATCCTTTTAGTTTTCAAAGCCAGTTTCCCTTTTAGATGCTCTTCCTCTTTCCCAACCTTATTCCAAAATTCCAGGATTTTAAAAGCAATCAACACCATCTCCAGCCCTGAAGTTGAGCTATGAGTGAAATTGACTAGACAGGAAGGTGAAATTGACTAGACAAGCCAGGCGAAGGAACTTTCCCACCACACCACGGATCTTTCCTCTCACCAACCCCCCCCCCACGCGCGCCCGCCTTTTTGAGCGGGGAAAAGAATCAAGAGAAAAGAAAGAGCATTTGCTGGGGGGAAAAACGTACAGTACAAGGCACGGAACCGCTTACTTGTGCTTTCCCATGGGCTTCCCCGGCGTGAGCTGAGGACTGGATCCCGAGGTATAAAGGCTGTATCTCTTGCCATAAGATATCGGCACCGGGGGGCGGTAATAGGTCCCTTTGGCATCGGCCAGGCAAACGAGCGTCCCGACGCAGAGCAGAGAGAGCGACGCGCAAGAGAAGGTTTTCCCGGAGAATCTTCTTGCCTTGGTCATGTTCTCCGTGGAGAGTGAGCCAGATCCACCACGACTAGAAGGCTCTCCCAATCGCTCCCCACCACAAGGTCCGCCGGAGAAGGGATCGTGGCTGGAGCTGGTGTGCCAAACGGAGTGGGGTGGGGTGGGGGTGGGGGATGAGAGGAAGAAGGTGCCTCGAAGCTCCCCTCCCTCCAACCTCCGATGCCACCTTCTTGCCAAGACGCGGGCGAATCCTCCCAAGGAACGGAGACGGCCGAGGGACGACCGGACACTCTCGAAGCCGGCTGAAAAGCGGTGCTCTCGGGGCTGTCGGTGGAGCGGGGATCCTCCAGCGCAAGCCTCTTTTGTACCTTTCCTTGCTCTTCGCTCGGCTTCGGGCAGCACCGGCTCCCCTAGTAGAGGAGCCAGGGAGAGAGGCGGGTCCCGCTCCTCTTGGATTAGCATAATATTCCATCCATCCCCTCCTCCTGCCGCCTGGTCTTTGAAATACTCACCCCTACCAATCAGGGAACAAACCCCCGCAGTGTAGCATAAGACAAATGATTTTTTTTTTAAAAGGAAGAAAGGAAGAAAAGAGGAAACAATAGCAGGGGTGAGAGAGAGAGAGAGAAAGAGGCAGAGGAAAAGAGGAGTGAGCAGGGAATCAGAGGGAGAAAGACCAGCTCCTACGCCTGCTTTCAGAATGCCAGCTTCCAGGAATGTTGGCAGGGGTGTGTGTGTTTCTTAGGTCTCTCTGATATCTTGATTTGGCATATCCGATCCTCATAAACCAGGTGCCATCCATGTGCAGTGGCCACCAATTCCCCAGGAGCTCTCAGACAAAGGGAAGCATGGGTGTCGCTGTCCACTTAGGAGAAAGATAGACATGAACCTACCTGACACAATGGCCTGCTTTAAAAGAAGAATCTTCCTGCACCTTTCTGTGTTTTTTTTGTTGTGGTCAGCAGCAGATCATGGAGAAGGACTGCTCTCTGGTGGCTAACCCTCCACTTAGACAGGTAATTTATTGGGTCACCTTGAGCCTTTTCTACTTCTTCCTGCTGGCCTCCTTTGCAGGGCTGTTATGAGGATAACATGGATGGAGCGGAATCAGGTACACTGCCTGGAGATCAGTGGAGGGAAGGCAGGATATAAATCTAACAAGTAGGAAAAAGAGCTGTGGGCTCAGCATGTATGTTTGCAAGCAGAACATCCTTGGTTCACCCCCTGTTTCATGGATTGTAATTTGTAATCAACAGAGATTAGGCTTCATCACCAGTCAGCAAAGTAAGCCAGCATGAGCCAGATGGGGCACAGACAATGTGCGACCCAGGGATCACACATAGCCCTCCAAAGCCATTTTTACAAGCACCAGATGCCTCCCCATCAGCAACAAACAAATAAATTTACAGAAGGTATGTGCCATTGTTTTGCAATAAAATAGTATGACGGGTCTACAAGAGAACTTCTTGAAATATCTGATTTTTATTTTATTTTGTAAATTTTGCTGATGTTCATGGCTGCTACCATCTCCAGTGAATCCCAAGTATAAAGAACTAGTCCTCAAGCCTTCTGAAGTTGCCCATCACTGAGCTGAATGGAACACACACACACACACACACAGACACACACAGACACACAGACACACAGACACACAGACACACACACACACACACACACACACACAAAAGTAAACAAAAATCAAACAAAAACCTTGGCTCCTAGTTACCAGGTTAGAGATACAAGGATTTTCCATGGGAATTCTTTCCATATGCCATGTCACAGGCCAGGCACTCAAGAAGAAACAGTGAAGAACAATGTGCATCCAGAACATCCAAAATTCCTCTTGAGATCAAGTAAACACAACCCATGCCTGCACTTTTTCAGTTATTCAGAATTGCTTCTATGGATAATATTTATGTGGACTGGAACCCCTGTAGCTTTCGTTCCCCATAGTAAATATGTAAATACTAGTTCCTCTATAGATATCCAATCTGGTGGAGTGGATAGAGTGATGGACGAGGATTCTGGAGATCAAGGTTTGAATTCCCATTTGGTCATGGAAACATACTTGAGGAGTAGAACTGGTAAAACCACTCCTTAAATATCTCACTTACCTTGGAAGCCCTATTTGAAAGCCCTACTGTCAAGTTCCAACTTGACAGTACCTAACTAGACAATGACAACTCTCATTGCACTTTTACTTTACTTTTACTTTTATTGAACTTGTACCCCGCCCGTCTAGACAAAGTCTACTACTTTTACGTTTCTCACATTTATTCTGGCCTCTTAACTATCCTCTTGACAACTTTCTGAAATGATAGGAAGAATACAGTCATTTGAATGTTGAGCCTCTGAAACTCCTCATCCTTTTGATTTTCTTCCCCCACTAGTGTGGTCCCCTGGATGAAACCACCTTACATTGAGTGAGATCAATGGTTTTAGTTCCTCTGAAAGTACTTCCTCAGTCATCAGAAGAGCTTCTTGCTTCCTGTGTTAGAATCAATATTCAGGTATAGTTCTGCTCTTGTAAATCTCAGTGGCTTCTCAGTCAATTCTCAAACTCAGCTCTCCATCTCATGAAGTAGATAAATGTAATGTCCTTAAGGAAGGATTGCCATATAGATAAGTAAAGGATTTTGCCATTTAAAGGGCTATTAAAATATTATTGAATGTTCTACCTGCCAAAAACTGCATTTTTCCACATTCTAAAACTTTTTTTAAGTGTTGGAACAAGACAGCATATGTTCCCTGCTTCAGCAAGGTTTTGCAGAAATGGCATACTGTCACTGTCACTGCAAAAGCACATTCAAGTTAAAAATGGTTTTCCTTCACCTTTCTATGGAAAAAATGAGTTAAAAAAATTGCAATGACTCAGAAATGCTTAGTGTAAAAATCTTCATAATCTGGACCCATGCTGGAATGTCCACACACTTCTAAACAAAACCCAGAATCCAAGGCCATTTCCCAACAAAACTAATATTGATAGAACAGGGCTTAGGCAAGGGTTTTCAAAAATTATTAGTACAGTCCTGGGCATTTCCCAATCAGCATGACTACTGGATTCTGAAAGTTGTTCTGGATGTTCGTCTTCCACACACACACATACACACACAAACCCCAACCTTTTCCAAGTTTTGTGCCAGAATTACTGCCAAATAGCTCTAACATGTTTGGCATTCTGCAGTCTTTCTCAGCCATGCTTGTACAAGATTTCTGTGTGCCAACTGCGGAGGTGTGCAAAGCAGTACACCCCCCCTAAAAAAAAACGGAATGTGTTTGGCCACACAGTGTGTTACACCCATACTAGCCCAAAGAGATGATGGTGTGGGTGGGTCATTTAGTCTGCTAGGAAAGGTATAAAATTTTAAATTAGCTTTGCAAGATTACCCCAAGGATCCATTGCCTAGCACTCTCTTTATTACAACATACTGCCAGAGGTTCCCAAGCAACCACTGTTCCTTTTACCCAGTGATTGATACACTCCCTATCTAAACAGACTTCATTCCACTTTCAGCTGGATAGTTGCATTAGGGTGTGATCTGACAGAGAAACAGCTCACATGTTGAGCTACTTGTGGCACAGACTAGTCTGAGCTATTTTCCAGCAATCACACAATGTACAGGAGACAACAAACTAGCCTGACCCCACTCCATGGCTAAGTTGTACCTTTTTGATCCAGTGGTAGGGCTACTTTTATGCAGTGGGGGAGACCTGGGTTGCAGTGATTCCTGTAGAGACAGAAGCAACCATTCCCAGCATGATCAGATGTGAGATTTGTTTGCCATTTGATTGCACCCTCAGTTCGCTGTAGGAAAAGCAACAGACTTGCAGTACTTCAAAGACTGGCACACGATTTATTTGGAATCAGCTTTCATGGACTATAGCCCACTTCTTCAGATGCATGGGATATAACTATCTACTGGATGTTGTCTATGACAGCTGCACACATCTATCAGAGGTTGCAGTCTACTGTGGCTATACTCTATGCTTCTGATCTACAGTACCAAATAAAATGTGGTAGTCTATAAGGCAGTGGTTCCCAATCTTGGGTCCCCAGCGGTTCTTGGACTAAAACTCCTGGAAACCTTCACCACTATCTGTGCTGCCCAGGATTTCTGGGAGCTGTACTCCAAGAATATCTGGGGACCAGAGGTTGGAAACCACTGCTTTAAGACATGGCAGCACTCGTTGGTTATTTGATGGACATCTGCCTTTTACACCCTACATTGATGAGATGAGAGGTACATACATATATTCAAGACTAATATTCTGTTGCAATTGAGAGACTACAGCCATCATGAATCCTCTATAAGATTTCAGGGAGAGGAATATGGAAAATTGCCTTATATCTGTCTATTTGTTCATCTGGCTCAATAAGGAAGGAAGAGAGCAACTGAGTCTTCAAAGGCCACATCTAATATAAAATATGCTGGCCAGACTGTTGCTTTCAAGACCACATTGCACAAATCTTGAGCACTGGCTCCCCATTTGCTTTCCAGCTCAATTCAAAATGAATGATTTGATCTATAAAGCCTTAAACGGCCTGGGGCGAAGGCATCTGAAACACCATTTTCTCCCATACGTACTTGCCCAGAGCTTGAGATCATCAAAAAAGACCTGTTACATCTTCCACCCCCTACCCCCACCCCCAAAGGTTAGATTGGTGAGGCAGGACTTTCTCAGTAACAGCACCCTGACTGTGGAAGTCTCTTCCAAGGGAAGATAGTCTGGCTCCCTCTCTGTTAACTTCCAGCTGGCAACTCAAATGGGTTTGAAGGCTTTAGGTATCTGGCTGCAGAGCCAGAGGTTTAGAATTTGATTCCCCAGTGTGCCACCTTGATAGGGGCTGGACTCAATCCATAGGGTCCTATCCAGTCCTGCATTTCTAAGATGTTGTTGTTGTTGATGATGAATGATTCTAGGATTGGTTTTTGGAAATCAGTTTTTGGAGATTTGGATCTGTTTTTAAGTGCTTTCAGTTTGCTTTTAAAAAGGTTTAAAACTGTTTTTTTAATGGTGCCAATTTATTTTTAATCTTTTTCAGATGTTTTCAATCACTTTGATCTCCTGCATTACACTCGGGGAGAGCCAATGTGCAGAAAAGCAATAAGCAGATGCTTAGTGCACTAGATAAGTATTTGTTTTCCTAGCCCACACTTCTTTTGTTACACTGACTGACAGTAGCCTTCTGAGGTATCCGTCAGCAGTATGTCATATCACCTGTTTCACAATCCCTGTGACTGGAGATGCCTGTCATGACTCACCCACAGCAATGCCAAGGCATAGACCAGTGATCTGTTGCATGCAAAACATCACAAAGTCTTAAGCTCTCCACTGGAAGATGGATTGGCAGAACCCAG